GGATGGCTTACACCAGGCGACGGAACCCTGGGATTCCCAACATGATGGTCCGTAGAGCACCGGTGCACTGCGGGATGGCCTACATCAGGCGACGGAACTCTGGGATTTCCAACATGATAGCCCGAAGGCCACCGGTGCACTGTGGGATGGCCTACAACGGTGGCGGTTGTTGGGATTGGAGATGCAATTTTTTTTCAAAATGTCAGCCCGCCGCCCGGCCCGCCCCGGCCAGCTAGGGATCCAGTCCGCAAAAACCTGCTGTGGTTAAGTGCTGACCAGCCATTAACCCGCAAGCACTAAGTTAATTGCGATCTGTATTTTGTCATTTCTTCTTAATTTTGGACTAGTGCATATAGTGCGCATGAAATGACATGTTATCGTCATTTAATGCACAGCGTTGCCGGCGTATGCCATTGGTATGCTTTACAAAGTGATCAAAGTACCTGGACTATATAATTTATATTGCACTCAAGAACATGTTTAACACTGTGATGCCAGTTTCTAGTTATAAAGTGAGAAGGACGAGGGTGAAATTTAAAAGGGCACAACACCAAAATATACAAGAGATTTCACCCTTGTGCCTCATCTCAGGAAACGATAGGCTGCATCTTCAAAAATTGCATGCATCAACTGATGTCCTCGCACTGAGAATACAAAATCGCTACATATATATATATATATATATATATATATATATATATATATATATATATATATATATGCATATCAAGCCATGGAGCGTTTCCTCGTCTCGTTATGCTGCACAGGGGCACAAACACGACACAAATGCGATAACTCGCATTCGATAACCAAACGCAGGCAGTTGTTTGTATTTGCTGCACTTAAGTAGTAGTAATTACACCATGCAACAGCACGGGATAAATGCAATATGACAGCTTTTAAATGGTTTACATTTCCCCTTACCACCATGTTCCATTCTACAATCATCACCGTGCTCTTTGTGATATTGCGCACAAGCAAGGACAACAGTCACATTTTGTCCACGATAATTCGTCCCTCAAGTGACACAAAACACATTTAGTAATGACGCAACATATAGTGGGATGTTGTTAAATGCTGAAAAATATATCCAAGGCAAAAACTGAGGAAATCACGTTTAGAATCTCTGTTCACATTTCACACGGCTCACTCTGTTCACATTTCACATGGCCTGCTCACTGCCACTTTCGACCTCTATCAAGTGTTTGATCAACGTCTTTGCTGAACTGAAATTGTCGTCGCATACCTGTAAAAAGTCACAGATGCGAGATGGAAAAGCAAACAGGCCAAAAGCTTAATTACATATTTGTGTGCCAAAACTGGTGCCAAACGCATTAACGGTAAAAGTATCATACGCAGTAATTCCTGTGATCGCATTCGTTAATTCTATGCTCTTCAGACATAAATAGACAAACTCTACGTTATTACCAATGCCTATTTCGATGTCGACAACTGTCGCGCATTTCATGCACCAGTGTCTGTGGGCTGCACTGGCAAGTGTGCGAGGCTGGGGCAATGAAAGACACATAGTTTCCTTTTTATTTAATAGTTATTGATATTGATTATGAGATATGGTTTATGTATTAAACAGGAAAGGCTAAGTGCACCTCACGCTCACATTAGCGACCAAGCTCAGTGGGTAGCTGCGTTTACATTAGTGTCCCACCTAACTACTCTTCAATGAAATCGGTCAAGCTCTGAAAATTTTGGCTGTTATTCCTAACTTCTCCAGTGAAAGTTTTGCTTGAAGTTGTTAAATTTTTTGCAATCTCGTTAACTGGTGTGTTATGTCTGCCGTGGTATGTCTGTCACTGGGGCTCTCACTATAAAAATAAGATGTGATTGTGTTATAACTGCACTGTGCTTGGCAGCACACTCAGGGTTTTGAATGGTTTAAGAACTTACCTGATCACAAAATAATGCATTATTTTGCTTGTTACAATTTTAGCCCAGCCAAGTCTGCTTTACATCCCGGCTAAAAGTCCGTGGGTTCTCGTGAGCTAGATGTTGGCGCGTTGGCGGCCTGAAAAGCTGCGTTTCTGGTTGGGAGCTCCAAGATACTGTCCCGCAGAGCACTGGAGCATTGCGGGATAACCTACAGCGCGCGATAGGATACTATACCACCCCTCCTTTGAACCCGTGGCGTTCTGATCCAAAACAAATCGCATTGCATTAGTCAACCATGCTGCATTTCATGTTCCAAACTGTGCACGAAGTCTGGACATCAAGAAGGTATTTCGTGTGGAGGTAGACGTAACATTGCTGAGGCAAACTGTAAAACAAAAAATGAAAGCAAGACTGGAATGTCTTGCGTTCGAAAGAGGGGTTTGTGTTCAGATAGGGATGGAGGTAAAACAATGGTAAAGGCAATAAATGCCAGTTTAGTTTTAGGTGCATTTTCACAATATGCTAGAGGAAACCGTGCAGGGTTGTCAGCGCTGGGCAAAACTGGGCTTGAAGATGTCGCAGATGACAAAGTAAAATGAGTGCATTGGTGTTC